AAAAAAAAAATAGGTAACTTTTTTTTTTTTTCATTTTCTCTAAGTCATGAATACATTCACTTGCTTGATTTGCAATAGACCACTTTGTATGCAAAAAGCTGTTCTTGTATGGGACAAACAAAATTAATTTCAAAAAAGTTGTGAAGATACCTTTTTTTACGTAAAAGAAGTAATAGTTACTGTGTGCACACCATGTTAGTACCATTAGTTGACGGGTTTTTAAATACCAACAACTCGAATATAACATTTTCAATAAATTAACATAGGTAAATGTCATTTAATAAATATTTTTTATTCATAAATATTAATGAATATTTTTTATCCGTGCATCGCACGAGATTCGTACTAGTTTTAGACGTCGATTTGGATTGATTTTTTTGTTTAATTTTATTTAATAAAGTTACAAAATATACTTTAGTATCTTGGACAAATGATAATTTTGTTCATTATTTTTTGCCATTTCACAAATAGCCCACTAATTTATTAAAATCGGGCACATGCCCAAAATCGTAAAAGAAAGAAAAATTAGGCAAAACTTACCTATTACCTAATTATAATTTAAAAAGATTTAAATATATAATTTAAAATTATTTTATAAATAGTATACTATTATGGCTTTTATTTAAAAATGAGACCTAGTTTAAAATATATGAAGCAAGTGATTATTACACCAAAAGATAAAGGAGAAAATCATGATTAGCAATAAAATATTTTTGGGGTAAAAACTAAAATAAAATCTTTGCTCAAAGTGGAAAACAATAATAATTTTTTATTTTATTTTTTTCCCTTTCTTTTTATCTCATTGGCTTAAAAAAAAATTTGTAACCTCTTTATTCCTACAGCCAATTATTGTATGCAAATGAGTGTGTGTAAGCCTCATTATGTTATCTACTCGTGATTGGGTCGGGCCCAAAATAAAATGAGCCCAACATGTTGGGTAAATGCATTTGAAGGCCCGTTTGAGACGTCACCGACCTCTTTTGATTTTGACCATTTTGTAAATGCAAAAATAAAAATAATAAAAAAAAAAAATAGCTCAATAAGTGTTTTCTACATCTTCAAATAATTGAAATTAAGAAAGAGTACAAATGTAAAAGTTGGCTATTTTTCATAATTTCAGTTAGAAAAAACCGTTAAAAAGAATTATTAGCATGTTCGGTTGACGATCGAGCTTGTTTGGAAACACTTTTTAAATAGACTTTTGGATGAAAAAGTCCATTTTGATAAATATTTATGTTTGGTACTAAATTAAGAATGGATTTATGGATAAATTGTTTTTCCAAAAAGTCCATTATGTAGAAGTAAATGATGAAGACTTTTGGAGAAGTGCATTTTTTATACGTTCATATTTAAATGAACTTTTTCAAAAGTGCGAATGAAAACTTGTTCTGTATACATATACACTTAATAATTTGGGGCTTTTTGGGTTGTTACAATATCATAGAAGATATAATGTTGTGGCCCAAATAAAGAGATGGGCCTAACTAAGTCTAGTAGTAGTCCACGAATGTTAAATTACAATAAAAAGTTCCAAAAAAAAATATTCTAATTAAAATTTCAATAGAATGATTAATTTTATATTGTAATATTTTTAGAGTTTGTCACTGGTTTTTTTTGACCGGATTTGACCTGTTGGATCGAATCAAAATCCGATTTAAAATATGTTGAAAAAATAGTTCGGAAATATATTCATAAATCGATAGGTGCCTCACATGGCAATATGAGTTTCGAACCGATTAGCTCACGCTAGAGTTTGTGCTCGGTTAAAAATGAAAAAAATGAGCCGAATTGGTTCGACTCTTTTAACAAACGATCCAATTGTCCAACTCGATCTTGACTCACTTAACCTTGTTAAAGGTAGGTGCAACTCGTTTGATAAACTTACAATCTTCCGACCTATTCGCGGACAAGTATGGCTCGACAGTTTCATCTAAACCTAAAAAAAAATTTAAAATAATAAATTCATAAAAGAATTGAAAATATTAAAAACGAGTTGTTTAGGAACTTAAACAGACATAAAAAAAAATTTACAAAAACGAGCTCGATCCATTTAAATAAACGAACGAGCCAAACCTATTGTGCTCATGAATAGTTGGATTCGTTTTAACAATTCTACAAGCAAAAATAATATGTTACTAACCAAGACGGAGCCAACCCAAAGGCTGGTGAGCTCCAACCCGATCTTTATTTTTTATTTGCCTAAATTTGTACTAGTAAAAAATATTTTTGCACACGTAATATTAATTTAGCCATGTGTTAAATTTTATTTTGGTCTAAGATAAATTAAATTTATTGAAAATTAAATCAATAAGAAGGAATAATTTTACTAATGATTGCACACATTATAAAATTTTTCAAAAAAATTCTCTCTTTCCAAAAGTTAAAAAGCCCCAAATCGCCTCTTCGTCGGACTTCCCCGACGAGGCCGCCGGTCTCCTCGAAGGTGGCCGGTCCCTGGCTGTACGACTCGTCCTCGATTAGGTGTCGGATCCCAGCTTCACGTGCGGTGGTGGAGTGGGTCGGCGTCCCGAGTGGTCTTCAGTGATTAGAGTTGCCATCCTAGGATAAAGGTCGCCGGTTTCCATGCCGGCGAGGTGAAGGCGGGCTGTGGTGTTCTTCGGGGGCGGGTTGTGCCTCCGATTACTGTGTTGGTGGTCGGGGTGGAAGGCGGAGGCTGCCTACCCTTTTGTTCTTTGTTCCCCTGGAGTTAGGGAAGAAGGAATGGTCGTCGGGCCGGGCCTGGTCGTGGTGTGCCTCGGTTCGGGTGGTGGTTGTGTGGTGAGAGGTGGGGCTGTTCGGCTGACCTCCGGCTGAGGGGTTGTGATCGGCTGCCAGAGCGTGGGTCGAAGTCTGGTGTTTCGACTCTAGTTAGGCTGTGAGTGACAGTTTCTAGTATTAAAACTTGGGTTGTGGTCTGATCGGTTGAAGGTCGATCGTGGTGTTACCGTTGAGTTTTGACTGGTGTATTCGTCCGGTTGTGGGAAAGGTTTTTTTTTTTGTGTGTGTGTTTGGGTTTGTGTTGTGTTATTTTATGTGCTTTTCGTGTTTTTTTTTTTTTCCTTTTTCTAGTGTTATTATCTCTAATAGGATCTAGATTCTCCTGTTAAGAGTCTAGGAATTATTATCGCTTTTCAGATCTAAATTCTTCTATTGTCATTTTTTTTTCGTAGGTGCGATGCGGTGTTTAGGCTTCTATCTGGATGTCCCTTCATTAGACTCGACTTTTGGTTGATACCTATTTGTAATTATGTGTGTTACTTATAAAATTTATATAGTTTCGTAAACAAAAAAAGAAAAGCTTATACTAAGTTAAAAATAAATATATATATTCTATATACTATAATATGTTGATTCACGACTCACGAGTCAGTTCTGTTCTAAATTTTTATTTAAAACAAAGACGAAAAAATAAATAAAAGACAAAAAACTATACATCTATTCATGATATGTGATATCCTGGTGGTCCCCACCGAAGCGCAGCCACGGACACACGTGTCTCCACGCCAGCACAATCCGGCGCTACACGACATTATCGTACTTTTCCTAAATATTTAAATACCAAATAAAAGAAAAAGAAATGCCACGTCGGACACCCTTTTAAATCAAATTTTCAAAACCAAAAATAAAATAGCTTTGCCACTTTTTATTAATTATGATATGACTATCTTAAACTTCACTATAAGAGGAAAGAACCTATCTACAATACGGCAATACCACAACAACTCTCAACAAACCAATTTTTTTTTTTTTTTTTTTTCCCCTAAAAAATCTTCAACAATAATGAGCCACTCTTCATCCTCAAATTCATCAGTCACCGGCTTCCTTAACTTCCTCGGCCGAGAGCTCGATAGTCTCGACCGTCTCTTTCTCTCTCAGAACTTCATGTCGTTCGATTTTCTTTCCCACGCCGTCTCGACCCTCCGCTCCTTCCACTCAAAGCTCGTCGTCTTGGTCCAAAAACTAAAGCTACGGGTCGGAGAAAAATGGCTCGACGAGTACATGGACGAGACCTCCCGCCTTTGGGACGCTTGCCAAGTCATCAAGTCGGGTGTTTCGAACATGGAGAGCTACTACTCGACCGGCTCCGGCTTAGCCGCCTTCCTCGACGACCATCGTGTCCTCAACTCCCGAATTTTTCGACAGGTACTAGTCTTAGTAATTAATAGTACTCCACACAGGTACTTAGTCTAATTAATTTTAATTGATTAGCTGTTCTGGCTGTTTACTAGTTTGTAATACAGTTTGGACATGTGTTTCTCTTCTATAGGTGACTCGGGCGATAAACCGATGCCAACGGGAGTTGATCCCGTTGCAACAAGAGAACAAGAGCATAGCCGAAACAAAAGTCGAGTCCCTGACTCTCGGAATCTACCGGGAAACGAAGCTCCATAGATACAACGGGTTCCAAGGGGCACTACACGCGATGACGAGCGTCGACACATTGCTCCTCGTGATATTGGTAAGCGGGCTCGTCTACTTTTTACCCGAGACGAGCTTATTTGCCCTAGAAAATGGGCAACACGAAGAAATTTTGAGCTCGTTCAATGGCTCGAATTTCGTGGCCTCGAGCGCGAACTTGAGAAGGAGGATGGCGGACGCGGTTGGTTACCTCGGGATGGAGCCAGGGGTGGTTCTTTTCGAGCTCCGGGCAGCACAATTCGCGTTGGACGAGCTGAAAATGGCTATCGAGGGTATAGATGTCGGGTACGAGAAGGAGATTGATATCGATATAGACGAAAGAGTCGAGAACTTGAGGAGTTGTTTCGGGGTTTTGCAGTGTGGGGTCGAGGGGATAATCGGGCAGCTCGATGACTTCTTCGACGAGATAGTCGAGGGTAGAAGGAAGCTTTCGGACATGTGTTCTCATGGGTAGGGAGAGGAAAGGTGAAGGAACTGTGAACTGCAATGCAAGATATGTTAGATAGAATGTTGTTGTGATCATTGGTTTTTGTTATTTGCTGTTTGATATTTTTTCTTTTTTGGGGGTGTATTTTTGTTCTCTTCTGTTATAGACTTATAGTTTTTTTAATTTTCTTTTGGATTATTTATAATTGGGATGTTTGGTAATAATCCCAGAGGTTTTTGTATCTTAGTTGAGAAATTTTTCAATCAAATTAGATGTAAGAGATGAATTGTTTGATTCAAATTGTATTTTGGGGTTTTGTTGTAGTTGTGATGAATGTTAGGGGTGGTTTTTGTAATTATACATGTTTTTGGAAGCTTTGAGATGAAGGGTTCTTGGGAGAAAACATGGAAGAAAATCTTGAATGGAAAGAATAATATATTCTTCACTTCCAAGGGAAAAAAGCAAAGAGAAAATAATTACTAAATTTTAGTAAAGGAACTAAATGGGTACATTAAAAAAAATAAAATAAAAAAAAAATAACTAAAAGGGTACATATTTGTGATAGATTTCAACTTGGTAACTGCAGTGTAGTTATCAAATTTTTCACCGCTGGATCAAGACACAGCTACACACACTTAAATTTGTGTTCATCTAATGATGAATAATCAAATATGACTGCATTGCAGTTATCGGTTGGACTGAACTCACCTGTATCACTTAGGGGTGAGCGTGAGTCGATACGTTCGGAGATTGATAAATTTCCGGAACCGTACCAAAATTCAGAGATCTCAAAATTCGATCTCCGAAACCGTACCAAAAGGTCGATTCAATTCGCTTCGGTTCGGAGATTTTTATTTTTCGGTTCGGTTCAGTTCGGTATTCGGGACTATTGGGACGGTTCGGTTCGTTATGGTTTGGTTCGGATCTTCGGATATATATTTTTTTTTTTTAATGACTACCTAGTCATTTTTTAATTTTTATATGCTTTAAAAAATAAAATTCATCAATAATTCATCATATTGAAGATTTTATTTTGAAATCAATTTTAGAAGTAACTCTAAATTTTAGTTACTTAATTTTTATATGCTTTAATAAAACCAATATTCAGTAATACTTCCTCATATTAAAGACTTTACTTTGAAATCAACTTTAGAAGCAACTCTACATTTTAGTTAAAGCTAAATTTGTGCAACTGATATTAAAAATTTAAAATTAAAAAAAAAAATATAATTTTTTTTCTTAAAAAAATATTCTTTAACCTATCATATTATTTTAATATAATTATTTTATAATAGAAAAATACACTTGTAAACCAAGTATTATTAAACATGAAATTTAAGTGAAAGTAATAGTTATTACTATATTATATATGATCAAAGTTGATATAAAATATATTAATAACACATCTAATGTTATAACTCGGTTCTTAATTTCGGTTCAGTACGGTATGAGACGGTTCGGTTTAGTTCTCGATACGTATATTTGTGAAATATCCAGAACTGTACCAATTATCTTTTCGGTTCGGTTCGGTTCGAAGAAAGTCAAACGGTCAACGGTTATTTTTCGGTTCGGAGTGATTTCGGTTTGGTTTTCAGAACGGTTCGAAATTCTTCGAGTCTCATGCTCAGCCCTAGACTATCAGCTATATCAAAAATAATTATTCTCTATTAAGATGTCAATAAAAGTATGAAAAAAAAAGACTAATTGTGCAGTTTTGAACTAGTAAATTAAAGTTGCCCAAATCATATTTCAAGGATGAAAAAGATTTAAGGTGCATGTGCATAATGCCTTATATCGGAAATTTAAGTTTTTTAATATGAAAAGAATTTTGAGGGGAAAAAAAGGTTTAATAGGCCATGAGACAAAGAACAAACATATGCATAATCACTTATTTAACTTTTTTTAACACGATTCTTATAATTGGGCCATCACAAAATTCAAATATTCTTTCCCTATCATCAAAAAGATATGATCACACTTTGATAATAAAGTAGCAAAAAAAGAAGGGATTGTGTTTGGTGATTAGAGAACAAATCTTAATCCACAAAGACAAATAAAATGCACCTTTGTAAATAGTGGAACCCATTATTTATTTATTTAATTATTATTATTATTATAATTATTGATATTAATATTATTATTAAAAAATATTATTCAGCTTGGGAGGTTTTTATTTCCTCTTTTTTATAAGCTAGCTGATTGACGAGGCAATAATGGAAGATGAAATGAAACGCGCCGTTTTCTAGAACAAAAAAATAAATTAGTAAAAGGCAAAAATATTAACTCGTATTTTATGAATTTGTGTCAGCTTTTCATTAGACAATCACCAAATTAACAGCTTGATTTGCACTAAAAATAGCTTAACATAAATGATGACAATCACAAAGTTTTCTTCGTTCGTAGTCAGCAAAGTTTGAACATTAAAAAGAAAGGGGATAGTAGTGGAACAGTCTAAGCTAATTAATAATTGTATAAACAGCTAATAGTGTACTATTATGATGTTAACAGTTTTGAATTTTTATAGGATCCCAGCTGGAAATAAATAATAAATCAATTTTTATTTATTTATTTTTTTATTTTATTTTATTTTTTTTTGTGACACTGATTGTTAAATTGAGTAAAAAAGACTCGATGCACTGGTAATTATTAGCAGTTTGGGGTAAAATAAATTGGAGATTTCATGCACCAGCCAAAATCTCTAATTTTAAATTCAAAATGTTAATTTTGAAAAAAAAATAATAATTTATAAGGTTTTTGAATAGAAGATTGTAATTTATTTTTACATATCAAATAATTAATTGTTATTTAAGAAACACTTTGCACAATCCATTAAATTGGTTAAATCTGGTAATTTAATCAGCTATCCGCGATCAGTTATTGAAATCACGTATTATTATTCTATGATATATATGCATTATTGTTAGAAAAGTTTTGTTAGAACATACACTTAAAAGAATTTATGTTGTTAACAAAGAAAATTGAAGGTATAATTTTACATGAGGTGCAAGTATGAGCCAATGTTTGGTAATTTGTTATAGTCGATTGGAATTTCATAGATAAGTGAAGTGATAGTTGATGGTTTAACTAATTTAACAAGTTAGTTGCGCCATTATATAATATATCTATATCTATATCTATCTATCTATCTATCTATCTATCTATCTATTATTATTATTATTATTATTATTATTATTATTATTATTATATAAAGAGAATGATATTTATTTGAAATAGTAACTAAGAACCAGCAAAAAAAATATTTGGTTTTCCGCCTAAATAAATTGAGTAATCTTTTTGGCTAAAATTTGAAAATCCCACCTATGTGATATCATCTTTATTTTTTTGAAAATTTAAAATTTAAGTATTGGCTCAGTTTGGAAACAAGATCAGGCGTCTAAACACATGGACAATGGCTTGGACAATGGCTCGGACAATGGTTCGAACAATGGCTCGTCTTCCCGAATGTGTATAAGGACCTAATCAACACCAAAGGAGATGCAAAAACACAACACAAGAACGAGAACACATATATAAAACACGACAAATTGGATCGGTCAACACTAAAACGAACCTAAAAATGACCCGACTAAGGCACAAAGAACACAAGAAAGCACCAAAAAAATACAACAAACATCGAGCATACATCAGACTCTCAATAGTCGAAGCATAAGGAATCTTCTGCATTTCCTTAATATCAATATCATTTTATGCACTTACTTAGACTAAATTTGTTTCATTTGGCAATAGAGGTATCTTCTGGTTTACAATTTTGCATGTCGAATTATTGCAACACTTTTTCTATATAGCTCTTATGTGATAATCAAAGAATACCTTGAGAACGATCCCGATTAATCTGGATTCTCAATACAAAAGAGGTTTCCCCAAGTTCTTTCATTCAAATTTCTTTGATATAAACTTCTTGGTATCGTGAAACATTCCTAAATCATTTGTGCCAAACAAAATGTCATCCACATACAAAATAAAAATAGATTTACTCCCACTTAAGTTATGATACACACAATTATCAACAAAATACATCTCAAAACCAAATGAGATTTGTACCTAACGAAGTTTATGGTACAACTAACGATATGCTTGTTTTAGTCCATATGGATGGATTTTTTAGTTTGCAAACCATAGATTTTGGATCTCCACACACAAAGTTTATTGGGTGCACCATATAGACTGTTTCACCAATATCACCATTCAGAAACGTTGTTTAAAAACGTCGATCTGATGGAACACAAGATCAAAATATGCTACTAAGGCCATAAAAATCACTTTCTTTCAAGCTATTAACTACTTCATTTTCTTGAAGAAATCATAATTGTTTGTAGTATTTTTGGGTATGTGGCAACCGAGTTACCCGGACTCGGGTCGTTCCGAAAGGAAGGCTATTCAGACACAGATTCAAGCAACGATCGACCCACACAAAAAAAGAAAATAAAAAACCTAAACATTCTACTCGCAATTTGGGTTTAGATTAAGCTAAAGAACACAATTTTAGCTAAGACGAAAGCAAGATGTAACTTTATCGCAAGCAAGACCTCAAATTGCAAGAAAAAAAATAAAGAGAAAAAATAACAAGGTACTCCTAGACCCGAGATGGAAGGAAGGCACCCATAGGTTCGGGAACATGCAACCAAGCAATCATCACTCGTGATCAATTAATCGACCTCCCAATCAATTCTTGCTTACGCAATCAATACCAATATCACATAATCCCTAGCCTACGAGGATGATAGCATAATCGACTCATGGACGCTCTTATCTTAACCCTAGAATAATCCAATAAGTAAAGACAAGCAAGACTCACGAGATCATGGAATAATTTTAAGACTCTTGATGCGCCCGCCTGTCAGCTCGGCTCAGGCCTGGGACTTGGGACTTGTCCTCGGTACTTGACGATTGGCAATTGGACTGTGGGTTGGACTTGGGCGGCCTTGAACGGTCTGGGCCGGTTTTGGACTTGGGCGGCCTTAGACAGTCTAGGCCGGTTTTCGCCTTTGGCCCAGCAACATATATCT